GAATTACAATCGCTATAATCCATCACACACGTAAAAAGGATTACGATCTCTCTTTTTTTTTTTTTTTTTTTTAGAGATAGGGTTTCACTCTGTTGGCCAGGCTGGTCTCAAACTCTTGACGGCGTGATCCACACACCTCGGCCTCCCAAAATGCTGGGATTACAGGCGTGAGCCACCGTGCCCGGCCAAGAATTACGATCTCAATACTCTGTGGAGTACAAAACATTTTAGCTAATAGAACATTTGTTAGAACTGAAAGCAAAAAATAGATATGCATCTTGGGAAATCTGTCCATCTCAACTGTTCAAAAATAAACATCAGCAGTGACCTGTGATGGCTTTTACAGTTAAGGGGGAGACGTGGCTTTAAAAAGTTGCTTTCTGTGGCCAAGTGAGGTGGCTCATGCCTGTAATCCCAGCACTTTGGGAGGCCAAGGCAGGGCGGATCATGAGGTCAGGAGATTGAGACCATCCAGGCTAACATGGTAAAACCCCGAATCTACTAAAACACAAAAATTAGCTGGGTGTGGTGGCACGTGCTTGTAATCCCAGCTACTTGGGAGGCTGAGAGACAAGAGAATCGCTTGAACCAGGGAGTCATCTCTCTGCAATGAGCCGAGATAGCGCCACTGCACTCCAGCCTGTCGACAGAGCGAGACTCTGTCTGAAAAAAAAAAAAAAAAAAAATTAAAAAAAGGAAAAAAAGCTGGCCGGGCATGGTGGCTCAGGCCTGTAATCCAAGCACTTTGGAGGCCAAAGCGGGCGGATTACCTGAGGTTGGGAGTTTTAAGACTAGCCTGACCAACATGGTGAAACCCCGTCTTAAAAAAAAAAAAAAGAAAAAAGTTACTTTTTGTGTTGTTTTGAATTACTTGACTGTGATTACTTTTACTGTCTCTTCCCGGATGGAAGCTGAAAGGAAGGAGGGGGGTGGCGGCACAGGTGAACTGCGTAGAGTTGTAGGAAAAGGGCAGGAAAGAAGTCCAGTGTTCTGGTAAAGGTAGTAGCACACGCAGCAGACCCATGTGGCACAGTGCTCTTCCCTAACAAGTTACTGGCTGCTGGAGGTCACGCCAGGTGGCCTCATCAGGTTGTCTTTAGACCCCGTTGGTGATATGAGGAGGAAAAGAAGTGGCCCTGCAGATGAAGGCCCCAGCCACTCCTATCAGTCTAAACAAACTTGGTCTGGGCCTTCTCAAGCTTCAAAGTATGTAGCTCCTTATAGCTCTTAGGGACTGGGTATTTTGATGGCCTGAGACAGAGGCCTAGTCAGATTACCTGGGACAGATGGTGGAAATCCCCGTTTTCCATAGGCCAAGTGAGAAGGAATGATTGCCCTTCGCTTCTCTCTGAGGGAAGGAATGTCAGTCACAGCCAGAGGCAGGAAGGGTGGGCCAGTGGCCTCAGTCCAGCTGAAGCTCCTCCAGCAAAACTCCCTGGATCTTCACACCCAGAACACAAACTTTTGCACTTGAACACCAAACAGGCTGGCCAGCAAAGGTGTTCATCTCCCCACGTACCTCAACTCCTCCAACAAAAGCAACAGTGCAAGAGGCACAGAGGCTTTGGATGCCCTCAGGGGTCCCACTGACCTAGACCTGTCTAGTGGGAAGCAGGGTCCTTTATCCCACATTCTCCTGCTTCTTAAGGAGCAAGGATGACAGAGAAAGTCTCTACCCATGCAAAGGGGGTACCCAGGCCCACCCTTGCACAAATACTCACCCCACACACATGTCTAGAAGACTCTGCTCCAGACCTTGAGGAAGAAGACACAACTGAACTGGAAGCTATCCACCTTCCCCAAATCCCATGACATAAAGATCAAAGTCTTCCTCCTCCATCCTCAATTGACCTTTCCCCCACTTCTTAAATCCCTAGCTTCCAACGGGGTATGGAACAAGTGGAGTATTCGAAGTGAGGTTTGAACTTCAGAAGGTAACTGGTTGGTAGAGCTCTAGGGTCTTACTCATTCCAGGGGGGATTTCCAGGGCAGATTTGAGGCTGAAGAGGCTAAGAAAGGGCTTGTGTTGAGAGAGGTGAAATGGGAGGCACAGGTCACATACCTGGAATCACCTGCTTTTGGCCAAGTTCTATAACCAGAGGGTCTCTGGTCAGGGAGGTGTCAATAATACGTCCATCTACCAAGCTGCCCTGGGGGGAGAGAGTATCAAGAGCATACACCTAGCACCTCTCCCTCCCAGCAGGCGCGCAACACACACCTGGACAGCTGGGCGGCGGCAGCCCTCTTAGACGGGCAGCCTAGCGTTCCCCTTAGCGGCAGTAAGGAATAAGAGGGCTGGCGCTTCTTGGAGATCTCTCCACCCTGCACTTCTCAGTGCCAGGTAGGAACTGGCAAAAAAAAAAAAAAAAAAAAGGAGGGGAAAGAAGTACGGAAGTGCAACGCCTCCCCCTTGCCACGTGCTCGACGACCCCAGAGCCCCGAGTTTCTCCTCCCGAGCCGCTTGCCACGTGTCCAAGCCAAAGCTGACGTGTTTCAGCAGGGCGCCGCCCCCTCCCAGGCCCCGCCCCGACCCCCCAGACACCTCACCGTGTAGTGTATGTGAAGCGTGTCTCCAAAAGCAGCGGGCTCCGCACATGGTTCGGGGGGCTTGACCTACGATCGGACTACAGGGTTCACGGATGCTCTTCCAAAGATCCCGTTCTCGCCCCTAGACCCGCACCACCCCCAACTCAGTTCCCGCACTTACTCTCCTCCCGGCTCCCAGGTTCGTTGAGACCCCAGTATTACCCAACAAGGCTCGGCCCACCGGGGCTGAGGGCCGGACTATCTCCTCACCAGCGTCTCCACTTGGAGGGTCCGGACGGGGCTTTCGGTTTCGAACCCAGTCTCAGTCCCGCACGCCGCCGCACTGAGCAGCAGCAGCAGCAGCAGCATATAGAGAGGGAGGAGTGACGGGCGCAGGGTCATGACTGGGCGCGGGGCAGGTAGCCGGGGCACCAGGACAGGCTGTTCGGGTGGCGGCGGCTAGGACAGCGTTCCCGCGGCGCCCGGGCCAGACTGGACGGGACAGGGCGGGTCGTGATGCTTGAGCTCCTCCTCCT